TCAAGATGTTGGGGGGCAAAATGATCTCCTTGGAAAGGCAGGGGGGAAAGGGGGTAAACTTTTTCCACTGGCCTTTTTTTTTAAAAAAAAAAAAAAAAGTCCAGTGTTTAAATATAGTACATCTGATTCGTGTGTTTGAAATACATTCTTAACGGAATAAAAAAAAAAAAATAGTGGAAATTGCTATAGAAGAGTTGACTGTTTAATTCTTTGCATTTTATGCGGAATAAATAAAAAAAAAATAAAAAAAAAATAAAAAAGTGGAAATTGCTGTCATAAAGCCTGCCAAATTCTAAAATGAGACCACATGTGTTGCATTGCCTGTTGTCCAAGTAAACATCAAACAAAGAGAATTACTCATTGTATATTTAAAACAACACAACTTTGTAATCGGATATTCCCCCGAGCTGAACGATTATTACTACAGTGGCTTACTGAGAAGATGTGACCGTCTCCGGGTATCCGGGTAATCTCCGTAAATCTGCATTATACTGCCCCCAGGTGGCTAATGCAGGCACACCCAGCAACAGTCGCTCAGTTGATTGATCGTCTAGGTGATAGAAGAGTTGACTGTTTAATTCTTTGCATTTTATTTTGTCATGTCACTGCTGGATTTTTAAAAAAATATACAATGAAATAGAGTATTATTTTTCTTATTAAAAACACTTTTTTGAGGAAGGGGGGGTGTTGGGGAGGCTAGTTTATGGTGTCTCGAGAAATCCGACATGACGTCATGCATCACGGCAGGTTCGCTGAATTGTGGATCGCTTTCCGTAATCTTTACAATTTCATACTTTTCACCTTCATCTTTTGTCTTTTCATTTTCTTCAAGGTCCCAACACGGAAGATTCCAGGAGTGTTGCCATGTTCAAGGCGGTGCTGAAAAAGAACAGAGACGGAGGCAAAGCCAGCAGGAAGGATTCAGGTACGTGGAAGACGGAAATGTATGGCAGAAGATGGCACACCAGCCTCATCCCTCTGAACACGCGCTACAGGACAATTGCTCAGGAAAACCTCGATTGACTTTGATTTGAAAGGGGCAGTCGGGCTTAAATTAGGCCCAATTATCGGTATGTGTATACTTGGTTTCAGTCATTTCCAACCTGCTTTTCTAAATAAATAGTATAAGTGACATCTAAGGGACCAAACAGCAAGTTGATTGGACTTCACCAAAGTTCAGCCAAAATCTTGAAATGAAAGTAGAAAGATTTTATTTTATTTTTTTTTACCCCATTAGCACTTTGGAGCCACCCCGGGCCTCTTAGCTGCTTTTATGAATTGGAATCCAAGCAGCCGGTGACAGTTTAATCTGTTCATCAATTCAGTTTGGTTTATGTTAAACAGTGAGGCGGAATAGCGGGGTCGTATTCCTGCTGAGAGAAAACTCCATAACAAGCAGCCTCTATCACTTCAATTTTATTTTTTTGGGAACCATTCCAAAATGCGCCGTGTTTTTAACTTTCATTTTACCGCAGGAAATGTTTACTGTTTTTATTTATTAAACTGCGACCGGAGCAACAACCCTGCCCCAGTGTCATCGCAGATGTTTTCTTTCCTTGGATACATGACAACACGAGTCGAAATGAGTCACCGTGCCTGAGCAAATGTCGACTCGTCCTCTGCTTATCCCATATTCCATTGTGACCATTTCTGCTTGGACTGCATTATGCCCGCCTCAGCTTGCATCATGGCTAGCGCCGACTTTTATCGTCCGGTTTCCCCTGCGCTGCGTACAAAAGATGCAGCGAGTGCTACACCGCCGCTGTCTCGGCGCTCTCACGAGTGAGACGTCTGACTTCTCAACGGTTAGCGCCAGGCTTGATTTATCAGTGCTTGTTGTACGTAATTGTCGCATGCGGTTACACGCTCCGAGAGCGAGAGCCAGCAGCAGAGTTTTACGGCTCCTTGAACTGGGCCCCATTCTTCCAGTTGGGGGACCGTCCGTCATGCCCCGCCGACCCCGTCTCCCTTTCTCATGCTGGGACAATGAAACGGGGTGACTCCTCTTGGTTGTTTAGAGCTCTTAAGACAGATGAGAGGTCACCATAGAGAGGCTCTGCCCCTCTGGTGGCCCTGCATGAGGGCACCAATCGCGACACTCGCTTTTATTCTTCGTCTTCGGGCAGTTGTTGGGGTTTTTTTGTTTGGTTTTTTTTTTACAGGCAGTCATACGGGTCACTTCCTGTAGAGCGGCTAGTTAATCTGTACATTAATGGTGTGCAGTAAACATGAGTTATCTCAAGATGACTGAAATATGCCACTGCAATTAATTAGTCTAAATGCAACACCAGATCGCAACAGTAGGTCAGACTTATTTATCTTTAATTTGTTATCGGAAGCCATTTGTCCATATGTTGTTCTAGACTTCGGTCTAGTCGAAAGAACTTCAACCGAAGCGTATGGGCTTTGAACCCCATTTTGTGACAGAAGCGCTTCGACAATGCACGCTTGCGCCAGAGGTCTTTGAATTTAACCAATGCTTTGATCACATCCTGGTTTGTGTTCCGGATGAGTTCAGGTTGTTTGATCAAGTGCGAACGCAGTAACCGAGGCTCTGGTGCAGACCAACTCAACCGAAAGGAATCTGCCTTGATTTGGTCGTGATGAGAAAGCTACATCGAGGTGTGTCCCTTAGAGCTATAGTGGCGATGTTATTGGAGCTGCTGGTCTTGTGTAACGAGGTGAGGCAGTTGACTTCCACAAAACGTCTTCAGATTCAGCACGTAACGTGGTTTCCATAAACGCGTTCTTACGCCAAACCTTCTTACTGCTCATGTTTTTTTGTGGGCATTAAGATACGATTCAAGTATGACAAAACTGCTTTTCACCGAGAACCTAGTTTATGAATCCATCAAGTTTGGACGATGGAAAGTAAACTAGAGGTGTGGAAGCACCTGCGGTATATTCAAATTCCTCAATTGGGTCATTAAAACCCGGTACGGAAGGTCGTTCTGATCAAACGTGTCCTTTCAGCTCGCAGACATTTTATTTGCCCCTGAAGTTGAGAAGGAAACACTCCCCGAAGATGACGAATAACAGTGATACATCAGAATATGTGGCCCCTGACATGGCGGCAATTGACTGGAGACGACTTAAAAGCAGTCAAGGAAACTTGGTTCCCATGCCAGATCCCGCTGCAGTCATTAGCTTCGCTTTGGGATCGCCACATTGCCAATCCCACAAAAACACAGCGAGCTAATTTGGTCTCTCCTCCTAAATTCCTCCTCTCCTCCCATCTCTCCTTGGCCTTTAGATTCCCTTCTAAGTACTTTTTAAAATTTTTTTATTTTTTTTTTATGGTGTGCCGTGGTGGAAGTGGGATGCTGGTTGGCCCGGGGATCGGTTCCCTTTGATGCAAACATGTACGTGGGAGATTTGTCTCCAAAAATATATAGCTTAGGGCTGGAAATAGGTTTTTCCGAATTGACAGTTGGAATCCTATGAACTGACCATTCTGACTAAAAAGTCAACTCCGACTACTCATTTGCATTTCTACTGGAGAAAGCAGGTCCTGTCCATCGGGTCTACGTCCAATACCCGAGTCAGCCGGGGACCAAAGTGTGCCAAGTCGATCTCATATTGGTGCCGCAAGTATTGGTGACCGCAGCTGGCCCTTCAATTGCTTGAGTCGATGCAACATTTTTGGATTTATAGAAAGCAGGGTTGCACAAAAATAACTAAGTATCAGTCCAGTGGACAAGTGCCATGTGTGGGGGAGGAAGGAGTAGACAGATGGAAAATCCCGTTCATGTGTCGCTGCAGATCCAGGATTGTTTTATTTGTTTTTGCATGAGAAATGGTGTCCATCTTCATCATTTGGGAAGGTTAGCAGCCCGTTTGATGTGCTCTCTACCCCCACCTACAGGATCGGAGTGGAACAGTACTGAGCGCAACATCCGACTTTTCAACTGTTTTTTTTTTTTGTTTTTTTTTTGTCTGGCACTGATGAAGGACTCGATTCCCGGCTCTTGGTGATCTGGAAATAACTTCCCCCAAAATTTGGACTGCGGCCGGTTGTTCCTCATAAAATTTAATGTGTGACCCATGTTCTTCGGTCAAGTTTTTCATTCACTGACCGTGTGGTCAGCGTGCGCTTCGTATTCCGTGCTTTAATTGCTCCAGGCAAGTTTACCCCGCAAGTTGTCTCTGTTGCCTGGACGACAGCGCTTATCCCTTATTGTCATGTATCCTTTGTGTTTCGACTGTTTATCCCCCGGGACACGTCCTGATACAGCAGTCGTCGTGACTCCTCTCGGTTTGTCTGGCGGGCTGGAGACAGAAGCTATAACCGTAGCATGCACCTGACTGTGTGAGAGATAGCAGCACCGAGGAAAGGAACGTTTCAGCCCTTCTCCCCCGCTGTGGTTTCGGATTACCACCGGCATACTCTCAACTCCTTTGCACGTTTACAGTGACATAATCGCATGAGTCGACAGTTGTAAGAGACAATTAAAATGTCCTTTTTGATGACAGTTCTTTTTGGCGGCACCAGAAGTCTCTCTTCTCGGGTGGCTTTTCTGTTCTCAAACGCGGCACAAATTGCAGCCGGGGTCGCCTCGCTTTCATCATGCACGCGGTCTTGGGCGGCAGGGGGTGACTTTTCTACTTAAGCGAGAAATTTAATGAGGGCCGACTGAGGATAAGCAGAGCGTGACAAGAATGTGAAATTAGCTCGCTGACTTTTTATGTCTTGTGATGTCATTTTTAATGGGCCAGCGGCTGATTTGGGACAACCTCATCTCGATTTTGGAAAGAAGGTGAAAGATGAAGGGAATATTTAGAATGTGGATAAATTAGGCACAAGTCCCCTCGAGTGTGTATGTGTGTGTGTGTGTGTGTGTGTGTGTGTGTGTGTATGTGAGCAAGTGGGGGGGGGGCCCATTAAGCACAGCAATGTGTTGCCTCAGCTGTGACTGGTGCTTGTGCTGTCTCAACAGTTCTGTGACTTTCTCGGGTATTTTGACATGAAACAGTGACTGACTTGTTGCAAAGGCTTCTGACGCCACTAATTTGGTTACCAAGCAGGACTTCGAGTTGGAGAAGGTTTTGTTTCGGGGGCATTCACACAAATCTGAATAAATTACAAATACGACAGCGCCCCGTCGGGTGGTAACTGTGTTACTCGCTCATACATTACATGCTTGGTTTAAAACTGGTGGATCACGGATGGACCGCATGTTTTTTTTTTTTTCTGATGAATGGCATTTTGATGCACTTGATTAGCTGTCATTGTCATTGTACTTTTGACGACTTCAGAAAGCTCAGCTGGATCCCCAAAAGTGGGCACGTAATGTCACTCGCGAATGAGTTAGCGGCAATGTTGGCATGTAAGGTAAAAATCCCCGATTTACCATCCATCCAAAAGGCCTTTTGAGCAGGTTTAGACCTCCCCTGCTTTTGCTGCGCACGTCCAAACACAGCCCAAGCTCTGCGTAGGTTCCGCCAATGCTACGTCTCCTGTAAAGACATCGTATGACTTAAAAAAAGAAACACAGCGCCAAACAAAGTCTGCCCACTGGTTCCAGTGTCGGACTGCCCTTGCGGGCCTGGCCTTTCTCCGCCAACAGCTGGGTGGTAGCCTCTCTTCAAGCCGTATCTACCGCAGCCATTTTGAGACACGCTCCCTCCTTGTCCTGTGGTTTCCAAAAGGAATTGCTGAAAACTCCCTCAAAGTGATCTCGGTGGCGGCTGGAAGTTTCTTTTTAGAAACTCGTGCTCCTCTCCAGGTGGAGGAAGGTCCGGATGAGGCATTATGGAGTATTAAATGTTCGCGTTGTGTCATTTACCTTCACCGCGAGGCACTCAGAAGAGATGACAAACTCTTCACAGTAATTAATGTGCATTATATACCACAACAGGCAAACAAGTGCAGGGCAGCCAACCACCACAAGTTGTCTTTCCCGCAGATGACACATCGTTTGTCGT